ACGCATCATAAACCAGGCAAATTTCCAGTTTCTTGAAAATAGATATTAAAATAAAAAAGCAGTCTGGTGGGGATAGGTCTCCGCAGGAGCCAAGATACTCTGGGAAAATGCCCAAGCTCTCTCAGTAGTTCTTGAGTTTCATCCAAGCTCCCGAAGCAGCCTGGTGATATACAAGACGCACGGACTGGTTCCCATCTCAGTTCAGATGTCCCAGACAACAGCCACCCTGAACTGGAGGATTTCTCAGCCCTGTCCTAAATAGCTGCAAAGGAGTTGACTTGTGAAAGCTTTCAAATAATTCCTAAAGTAATCCAGTAAGTGATTAAGTGTGGCGTTTATATTGCTATTTTAATACAACACATTGAGGCTCAGTATGCTGAAAATACAAGAATTTCACCTCTGTTTGAAACATGCACATACATGCGCATGCAGCCTCCAAATTACCATCACATGTTGGATGGGTATGCCTAAGCCTTACTTCACATTTTCCTGCGGGTCTTGTGAGTGGCAAAGTCATTCCTAGTGTCTAATTCTACCATTTCTTTTTTCACATGTGTATTTTATTCCTGGTAGGAAGGAAGTGAAACTAAAAGTTGCTTTTCTTCCCATCCCGTGCTTATTGCACGACTGTAACCTTTGCTCAGGACAGTATTTTCATGGGTAGGAGGTTCAGCCATGATTGACACGTGTTCCACCGGTACAGTGCACACCAGGTAAACCTACCAGGTACCAGAGACCAATGAAAATGTTCCGCTGGATATTTTCACTTGCTCAATGCTGTCTTGTGCCCTGCAGAGATGTCTCACAGCCTAAGCACCCCCGTGTGCTGCTGCTCTCTCCCTCCTCTGCCAGCACCCAGCAGCCCCAGGTGGATCTGTGCACAGCTCCTTCTGTAGTCTCCTCCTCAGCCACATGCCTCCAACCTGCTCTCGCAAAACTAGTCCCACCTCCTGAGGTCCTGCGTGTTTTGCCTGCCTTTCTCAGTTCACTCTTGATCACACAGGCTTTCTGACCACTGATTAGTCGAAAAACTTAAGTCTATAAAGAACACCCCTCTACACTAGTTGTTCTCCATCGTAAGTTCACATTTCTCCAAAAATATATTTTTTTACTCACTTCCCCGTCTCCATCCTACTCCCTTCAACCCTGGTTCATTATTCATTTTACCCCTTTGTTTCGTTACCATCATTAACTTCAGCTATCCTGCACAGGTATGAGCAAAAAGCCTCCTCAAATGAGCTTTTAACAAAACCTTATATCTTTGGATACCATTGCTTTCTCCATCTTCCAAGGGCAGGGCTGCTGCAGATAGGGGGATACACCACTGACATTATTTACTTTCCTAGAAAGATCCCCATTTTGCCGCAAATCTCTTCTCTGCATCTGGCTTTACTAGAACATCGCATTCCTCCATTTCTTTCGGCATCCATAGTCATTTATATTACCTTCCAAAAAGTAATTATTTGGAACCAGTTAAGCCTGTATGTGAATTCTGCCTTTGTTTAAAACACATTGTACATATGTATATATTTAGACTGTCATTAAATATTTAAGAGGCTGTCTTCAAACTTCAGCAGCAGCACTGTTTGTTCGCTTAACCCTTTGTGAAATGGAAAGCTTGATGCTGAAATCCTACCGTGGAGGAATTCAGAAAGCCCAGTTGCCCCAGTGCTGGGTGACAAAGGCCAACTTTGACAGTCAAGTGCACCGTAAAGGAACTAGAGTTTTTCTTTGCTTTTTTCCTTTATATCCTGTTTGCTAGCAGACTAATCGTGATAATGCAATTCATTTTATTCTGCATCGGCTTTATCTGCTGAGATGCATAACCGGGATGCAAATTAATTAGCTGTAACTTACAGATGGATTTTTCAGTACAATTCAGGGAGACAGTCAAATACACACATGCTCTTCCCTCCTTCCTCCAAATGAAATAAGACACTCTATGCGTTTTCCACAGGTCACGAAGGCACCTTTCTCAGCCTTTTCAATCTCCTAGAGAGGAAACAACGCATCCTGCAAACAGGTGGACCTCCTTCAAACCCAACACAATGTTGCACCGTAGACGAAACCCCATCACAACTAACTTGCAATGTGCACTGACACCAAGCATAACACAACATAACACTACCACCCTGTTGACACAGGATTACCATGTTTTAAAATCTGGTCACCTAATTTACCCGGCTTGGCAAGGCCTCCACCCAGAGCTAATCATTTATGTATCACCCTGGCAAGGACTGCTATCTTGGGGCCAGCTCTCCACAGCCAGGGCACCCACACTCCTGCCTTTCACACCAAGTGAAAAAGTGTAAGCATCACAGCAGAGGAAGCGAAAACCAGCACAGAAGAGTGCGATATGCAACTTTCACAACTCTATATGGATACGCAAATATACGTATCTTGGAGAACACATTTCTTCTTTTTGATTAAAACCTTGAGGACGCATTGTTAAATCCAAGCCCAAAAAGCCCCAGGAGAGCAGCTCTCTGTGGGGTTTTCAAGGCCCAGCTGTATTTGGAGACATTTCTTTCCCAAGCACTACAGCCTCGTTCATGATCGGATGCTGTTTTAGGTGTGGTGAATAGCAGAGTCCCTCCTACAGCTTTCACACCTGGGCTACCCATCGGCACAGAAGCATTTCAACCGGCTGACTGCCGCGAGGCTTCCCTGGGGATGTGACCTTGTCAGAATTTATAAGGGGAGCGAAGCACCAGGCGCGGTCCACACTTGCACGGGAGAGACAGAGAACGCAGGCCACCGCAGGACGCAGTGCTGGGAGATCAGCAGATGGCATACTTTGCTGTGAATCGGCGCCGAAGCAGGAGTACGAAGGGGCAGCAGCACGCTCTGGCACGTGCGCTCGCTCAGATAAGATGCCGGGTTAAAGAGCTTCAGCATTCTCAGTTGTTCTCCAGAGCAAACCTGTTCATCTCTGTGGCCCAACCACAGACTCAGCTTCAATTCTTGGAGTAATCTTATTTCTTGTAATCATCTTTTTTTTACTTCCTGTCTTTAACAGCAGTGTTGCGACGAATGTTTAAGTCCCCATATCCCACCCCAGACATGGCTGCATCTTGGCAGCAAGTACGGTTTTTGTATGAATAGCACAGCGGACCAGTCAGGTTCATGCTTCCATATCCCCTGAGGGTTGTTATGTACAGCCCTCACTACAAAATAAGTGGCAAAAACACTTTGGGAAGGGCAGAACTTACGGGCAGAGGTCTATCTTTTATTAGAACAAATGGCATAGCTGTAAAAAAAGTGAATATGGCCCTACTCACGTCAAACCACGGGAGGGTATGTTTGCTTTTGTGACAACTCGACAGCACATATGCTGTAGAACACAGCAAATAACCAGGACTTTACCTATTTGTAAATTAGCTCCAATTACAGAGATCTATGCCAAAACTGAGCGGAGTCTGCAAGGCTACAGTTGTCAGGTCTCCCTTCTTCCTCCCAAAACAATATTCACTAAAGGAGGTCACAAGCCAAAGGGACCGCCAGGTCACGAACAACATGGGCTTAGCTTAGTATCTTTACTGATGGCTCAGTACCGCCACTGTATCGCTTCCACATGTGTATCACTTCACCACTCACCCATCAGTTTTCTGAAAGCAAATGGGATTTAAAGTCCACCAAGTATTTGCACTGCTCTTTCCTCCCCCTCTGCGGTGGATTTACAGTAACCGGAGGGTGAGCAGAGTTCGCCCAGGCACACGCAGGCTTCCCGGCGTTGCAGCGCTGACCTTCCCAGTCTCTCCCAACCCCCTGTGGATAGTTTCGGTGGAGAAACCGGCAGCCAGATGGAAATTTTGATCAGCATTAATGCTACCATAGTTTCTTCCCGACTGCTCTCCAGGAGTATTTTTCCACCCACGTTCCTCTGTGCATCGCAAACCCCTCCAGCCGTTGGCAGCTCTCAGTGCAGCTCCACCACACGCTACTCAGTGCTATACGGCTGGTCTATTTTAATTCAGCGTCTAACTCCTGCTACATGGGAAACATTCTCATGCGGAAAACTTCATATATAGACACCCACTCTGCAGCAAACGGAGCGGTGGTCGGCATTTAAATGAACTAATCAGTTGCGAACGGCTTAGTCAGCATCACAGTCCTGGAGGCAATTCCCAGGAAGTGATTTTCCCAGCAGCTATATATACAAACCTGAAAAGCAGACTGGAAGACAAGGGCAGCACCACAGCGACGCAAAATTTGGCTACACAGTGACACTACCAACAAAAAAAAATCGGGGAAAGCCAAAAAACCAAGCATTCACAGAAAACACACACTCTGCTCGCACCACCGGTGTTTCCTCTCACATGAAAAAAAATCAGAAACTCAGACACAGGACGTGAACACAGTCAGCGTTTCTTTTTCCTCCTTTCTTTACCAATACTGTGCCGGTTTGAACAGAGAGAAAAAAAGACAGCAAGGCAAGTTACTGCCTTATCTGTGCAGACACACAGACACCGGGCAGACGCCGGGCAGTGCTTTTTGCAGAGAGCATCCCAGCTATCGCCCTCAGCAACTAACCCACTGCAGGAGCTGGGCTCACGCGTGCATTGAAGAGGGCTGAGGACTCGCACAAACTTTGTCTCGGGGCAGGGAAGGCACAGGGCATCGAGTTTTAAGAGGCACTGAGGGGACGAAGGGCAGTGCCAGATGCCAGAGCATTCTCCGGCAGCATCCTTGCCACTGGCTGCGTTTGTGGAGCCAACAGGCTGTGGATGCAGGTCATCGGTCCCCAGGGCAAGCGACGCCAGGGCTGCGGGACACCTCCCTGCCATCTCCCCAGGCCAAGGAACCGTCCAGCCAGCCGGCAGCCTCGCCGGGGACAGGAGGAGCCACCAACCCGCCCGACGGAGAGATCGCGACTTTCCTCTGGCTGGCAAGCAGCCGCCAGCGCCTCGACACACATCTGCTCACATCTGCCCGGCAGCCAGGGCATGCCGGAGTGCCCCTGGGGATACATGCATGGGGAAGGGACGGCGCTCACTTACTTTTCATATTCAGCGTTGTCTCTATCGCAACGCGAATCCTTGTGCTTTTGCCAGTCTTTGCCATGCTTGCAGGTGGTCAGGAGGACAACATCCTCTCCGTTATGGACGTGATATAAGGCTTTCCTGGTGTCTGACCCTATCCCCGTCAGGTACCTTTTCCCCTTGAATACCAACATGTACTTCCTGAGAGGAGGGATGGTGTTAAACCTCAAAAATCCCTTCTCCCCTCCTGTCCTAGGATGATCCTTAGAAAAGAGTGGGATAGAAACGTCAAAGTTGGGTCTGAAGTTTTCAGTACTGATGCTGGCTTTGGCCAGCATGGCCTGGCCGATGTCGAACCCCACATCCTCGGTGTAGTCGGGCCAGGTGCCAGAGTATAAATTAAAAATCAGGTGGTTTCTGCCGTTGTTCCACAGGTGGAGGCTCTGCACCTTGGAGCGGAGGTTGTGCACGTACTGGGGGGAGAGCTGGTCCCGGTCCAGCGTGTCCAGGCTGAGGACGAAGAGGCAAGCCTGCCCGGGGTCGGAGGTGTAGAAGCGGGAGCCCTCGATGGCGGCCAGGACGTTCTGGTAGCTCTCGGCGATCTTCTCCCCCTTCTGCTGCGGGTAGACGTAGACCTTGAAGC